CACACACACACACACACACACACACACACACACACACACACACACACACACACACGCACACACAGGACTCGGACGTCGCCAGGCGTTCAACTGGCCTGGGGTGATCTTGGAAGCGTCACTGCGGTGCAGAAATGGAACCCCCTGTGTCGCAATATGCCCTACGTTGTTCTCACTCATCACCCGCTTCTGGTAAAACAGAACCAACTGCCAAGCGACCAGGCCAATGTGAGTGGTGCTGGCTACGGCGCCGAAACCACCCCCGGGACGCCCTACGATGTGAACAACTTCTTGCAGGCCATTCGCGACGCCTGTAGTGCCACCAACGTGGAGGTATGTGATGCTCTCCACAGCCGGTAACACAACCCCTCCAGGGTCTCTCAGCTGCTTCGTGGAATTGACCAAATTTCAAATAAGTGCTTTAGTAGACACCACGATTGCACGAGAAGGAATTAGTCTTCACGAGCAGTGTTTTGTGTGTGCATTTTGAAACGCTTTCATTAGTGTCAGGATCTCTTCATTGACGCTGGATGGATGTCACTTTTAGCGCACTGTGTGCAACTTTGTTTGCAGCTATTAGTTGAGGTAATATTACTTTTTCCCGACTCGTAAAGAGAATTATGAAGTCACTGGTGCTGATTGCTTAACATAATGCACGTATTGGAGATGGATTGAAGATGTTTTACTCAACTCGGACCAACTTCACTCTGGTTTCCCCACTGAAGCTGATGGTAACCAATTCCAAATGCGATCGGAGAACCACATCTGGGCCGACGATATACTCTGACACGGCCCTACCGAAAGAGAAGGAACGCCGATGACGCGTAGCTCAAATTATTTATTAATACATTGGCGGTAGTGGTGTGTGCAACGTAAAAGATCAGTTGATATGGGATCGGCTAAACACCGATCCCTGAACGATCATTGTGACGTGAAGTGAATCACGTTCGCCCACGCTTGCTGTAATCCCTTGCTGCCCACCACAGCTCCCCCCTTAGTAAAAGGACTTGGCGAACCTCTTCTCCCAACAGGAATTCCGAAAGGTATGCGGTTAGTTTGATTCAGTCGGAATGTGGCCCCTGTGACTGTTCACACGAGGCGAATTGGCGTAGCCTGAAGGTAACTGAAACGGTTGGCATCATTGTTCATTGTCAGAAGTCGTTCGATGTGAGTCGCAACCTTTTCTATTAGCTGGATATCTGAAAGGTTGATCGTTGGCGAAGTTGTGCATGATGCCAAATCATAAGATCGCTGAGGCCGTTCGATTTGGTTGAGAGTCGAAAAGCAAGGGGAGCAGAATCGATCGAAAATATCTGCTGGACAAGCCTCGGAGGTCGAGGCCAATGAAAGTCGAGAGATGCGGCCATGTTAACTAAAAAAGGAGAGACTCGATGGATGAGGCCAGGTTGTGAAAAAAGAGAGAGCTTTATGCTAATATATGTGGAAAGATTGTCGCGAAACGATTTGTAGTCGGCGGGGGTCGATAGGAATCGAAGATCATCGCCCAGAGATTAGCGGTGTCCGGAGGGTAGGCGGAGTCAGGCGATTAGGCGTCATCCGGCGATGACTGGGATCAAAACCGATACGTGGGTGAGTTAGGCGAGATTTGGGGAACGAAGCCAGGTTGATCAAGGTGATCAACAGACAGAAACGGGACCTAGAGTCGAGCGATGTCGAAGCACAGCGGCCACACGTTCAGTTTCGAATGATGACAGAATTTCTTGAGAGGTTACTTTTCCGTGAAACATGAGACGCCGAATAACCACGCCACTGAAGTCGCACTGGAAACCAATTGAATCGTGTTCGCTTGCTGCTCTCCACGATGGCTATGCGCTCAGAGGTCTGGTCAAATCGGGTCGTTGTCATGTAGCCGAGCCTAAGGCTGCAGGGTGATTGGTAAATCCATCACCAATACAATCGTTGAAAATCGCTGAAAATGTCGTGGATTAATTAGGAGGTTTGGTAGGGGGTCAAAATCGTTCAATACAACTGGTCAATATATCCGATTTGCACCTAAGACGTTATCGAAGTGATTGTGGTTTTAGAGTGAACCACAGCAGTTAATGGTCAGTGGATTAACAGCAGCTAAACATTTATCCAAAACGGTCATCATAAGAAGTGGCGAAAACTGCTAAACTGGATCAAATATGATTGCACTGTCAGGTCAGTGGAAACACCAAGGCGTAGCGTATTTCTAAGTACTAGTAAACAACCGAAGGGTCAAATCTCGTGTTTCCTGTCAACAACCAATGAGATTTGATTAGGCACCAATCAAGGCGAAGCGGTCAGAACTGGCAAATCGTAGGAGTCGTGTTCCACCGGGGCAACGCAACGCCTTCCACATTTTCGTAACTTGTTTGAAAACTGTGTGATCTGAAGTCGTGAACGGTTCCGGTGTTTGCTGACTAGGACCGGAATTTAATAGGAAGACGCCCAAGCGGGAAACTTGTTCATGTTCAGGAAACCTTCTCGACAAATTATGTCTACTTGTCACTCCTGAGTACTCCACGCGCCTGGACTGGAGGACTCATTTATTGAGGCGGCGTGTGGAAGTGTTTCACTGCATCAAGGTAGAAAGTAGTAACTGAAGACATCTTCCAGGTCCAAGTCACCAGCAAGTGAAAGTGGTGGGTGACCTTCGATGTGGTGTCGTTTCGGTGGATGTCGAATTTCAATGAAGCGCCTAAGGTGTCATCTGTTGTGCTACCTCCTGCGTCTTTGTCACACCACCATTGGGCGTGTGGTCTGTTTACCAAAAGATGCTTTATCATTCTTAAAATCTCAGAATTGACGTCTTAAACAGGCACTAGTTTTTACAAAAATCGGTCGATATCGAGCGAGCCAATCAGAAATGAGGGTTATTGTTTTTTTAGACACTAAATAAAACTTGCTTTTTTTGCTTCTATGCTGTAGTTTAAGACTGGCGACATAACCATTGAAAGCTACGGAAACCTCGGAAGCGTTGTCTTCAACCAGACGAGTCTTGGATTCACTCGGTCGAAAGTTCCAGTGGCCGAGTGAAGGTAAAACCGACTGTCCCCCTCATCCCCACAATGACACCCTTCAACATTAGTCTGTAGTATAGCTACTGTCCGAACACTCCTCAGTTCTACTTTGAAACCCGTTTTCCTTCTTTTCACGCATGCATAATATCTCAAGTCTCGACTTATTTGACGTAGTGTCGCCGTTTTGCAAGTTGTTTGGGTGTTGTCAGACAGCGTGACATGCTGGTCGAAGTGTGTTTTCGCGGGATCTAAATGCACTTTTCGTCTTGTCCCATTCGATTTGAAATAAACACTACTTTTCAAAATGACTTCGGTGACTGTGACCCAGTTGAATCCAGGGGCCCGGTCAATTTGGAAGATCTAAATGGGATTTTTGCATATAGTGGCTTGTTTTACTGGACTCAGGCTCCCGCTGGGCGGTCGCATGAATATTGATCACCCTAGGAGCGGCGCTCCACGCTGGACAAAGTGGGATGTGGTTCGCGCTTTCGGACAGACGAAGTCAACGATAGCCGTCAATTAAGAGATCGAAGGCAAAGTCAAATGAAGTTGTGGCGTTGAATTTTGATTGGTTGATGCAGTGCGGTCAAACTAGAGGTGTCAAACAACACGTGAGTCTAAGAACTCGCTTACTTTAGTGGAACTCGAGGAAGCATCAATGGAAATTGGAATCTCCGTTTTCGATATCAGTAACAGACTACCTTGCAAATCGTTGTCACGATGGCACGCTGAAGTGGGATAGTGCGGTATTTTCGATAGATCTGTGTTCGAAGAAGGGATAAACCTTAATTTGTACTATGTTAGCGTGACTCATCCAATTGGTTCTGGCGTGGTACACAGCTCATCGGATGATCGAAATTCATTTGACCGCTCGGCAAACACACCAGTTCAGTAAAACAAGGTTGAAGGTTGGGGAGAGGGCGTATGAACGATCAGTCAGCGGTGAATTGCGAAATGTTGCTCTTTTGCCTAGGCAAGGGATTACCAATCGTCTGTCGGATCGATTTGTCCTTTGAGGAGACAGACTCGGTGAAACTCCGTTTGGATCCGCGTCCTGATTCACGAGTTCACTCGAGCGTAATGAGAGGAGTTTTTCGCCCCGAAACAGTGCGAAGCCAACGTTGTCATGCCAACCCCTTGTGGTTAGTCGTGTTGATTCAAGTCCGATAACCCGGTCGTCGCAGTCTCGCACACTGCCCCCTTCTATGACGCCCCCATCAGCCATTAGGGACTGTCTGGCCACACCTCCCCCCTTACCCACTTAATTCATGTTGGCATCCAGTCATCCGTACTTGGACTACTAGGTGTATGACTTAATTTATACAGATTTTCCAGCGAAAATTATTGAATGCAAAAAATTCAGAACAACGATCTTATTCTTGGAATTAGTCCATCATTTTCGATTGCCTTGGGCCATCGCTCAGGTAACGGATGAATACCGTCGCGAAAAAGACATGCCTTTCATCACCCGTCACAATTTGCCACAAGAAGTCCATTCACGGATTGCTGCTGGCGGGCAAGCGATGAAAGGCGTGCGTTCTTGCGCAGACATGTGGGACCCAACTTCCAAGTTTTTGCATTTTTCCCATTTGGTGGTGCGAACGCCTGGAAATGGGTGTTTAAGCGACTCCTAACTGATCTGCAAGTTCTTGTTGCGTCTGCATTGTGACTTCTTGTCCAGTAGAGCTAGCGATTGCGCATATTCAAATAATCGGGGCAGCTGTTCGTGGCGCGGCCGGTCACTAAGATCGAAATCGCCACTTTTAAAACGTTTGTACCAGTAGGCACATGTTTCGTATAAAATGGCGTGCCGTCGAAGGTGCTGCCTGTTAGTTGCTATTGTAAACTGCCGTTCCGAGTGACTCACGTTGACTTGTCGCTCGATGCTCTGAATCCTTGCCTCCGATCCTTTCAAAACCACAAGAAACATTCCGGATAGTTTGCACAATGTGCATCGGTCAACAGCCGCCATATCTACACGCAACTTTTCACGCACACTGGCCAGACACATCTCTGATCTCGTCGGATATCAGTGTAGAGTAGTCGAGACATCGTCCAGGCGCTATTAAACATTCCAACGTTCCAGAACATCAGCGCGACAGAAGTCGGAGCTGCCTCGGTATAGTGTCAGTCAGCTTATGCAACTGCGAAGAGTGAACAAAGACGAAGGTAGAAACTGTCCAAGTGGCTTGAGAGTTCCTCAAAAGTTTTGAAACATCCAACCTAACGAAAATTCCAAGCAAGTGTTGAAAATTGCGCCCGTGGAGTTTGTGAAAGAGTGGGCTGAAGAAATGACCCAGCACGCACGCTGGAGACTCCTGGAAAATCGATGCCCTCGAGGTCACGTGGCGCGTGCAAAGTGGTTAGGTGGTTTCCTCGCCAGTTTGTACATAAATGTTGCCATAGTGCCCATTCCCATTGCAGTCTTTTGATGCCTAAAAAGTTTTATCAATGGAGGAAGTCAGAGCACGCAACGCTTACCCCGACGCCACCGACGCACCAAGTCCACCGGGAACAGCAATCGACAACTTGAAGATGCCGGTCGCACAATTTTTTGACGCCATTTCAATTATCAGGAGTGACAAGCAGAATGTGCTGGAGTCTACGCCACTGAAAAGACCACCAACCGACTTTGTGGCCCCCCAGGACTGGAGTATTTACGTGAAGATATGCTGCCATTTAAAACAGACTGAAAAGCGAAACGAGTGCTCCGATGTGGGTGCGAATCGACAGAATATGAAAGATGACATTCAGGGTCGTAATTGTCTGATTCGTCTAGTCTCCGCCTTCAATCGACTCTATGCCGAATACTCGCTGCTTTGTGACGCCGTGGAGAAGGCGAGGGAGGAGCCTGGCCACTTCTTGAACCACCGTGATGAAGAACAACGAATTCGACGGAGCGAGAGTCACTCAGACGAGAGAAAAGGAAGGGGTGATGGAAACGGTACCAGGGACTACCGTGCACCTGGTGTGATACCTCAGCAACCCGAGAATCCGATTTGCCGAGGATACGACAGCGCTAACACCTGTTTCACTAAATTACAGCTATCCCAATCGGCGTCGTGCAACTGCGTCCACTGCAGACCAATTCTGGGTGCTGCCAACACCAATTACGAAACACAAGCGAGGAAGACTTATGTAGGCTGCTGCACAGTCGGAAGACGCAAGCCCACCAAGAACAGCTCCAACTCAGCCGACGTCTTCGATTGCATTCAGCGCCACCCGCCTGAATCCTCCATTTGGGTGAAGCAGGTCCGACGCACTTGGCCGCAGACAGTGCTTACTTCGGATTGTGAGTTTGAAGAGGAATCTGGCAGTAGAATAGAATCGGTTAGGCTTCCCATCGCGCTGGAATTGACGCTTCCACGGATTCAGCGGCAAGTTCAAACGGTAATGGCTGTCTGTCCGTTCATCTTTGATCCGCTAGAGGTGATAGCTGAACTCCGGGCAACCAACTATGATACCGACGCATGTGTGGGGTATTTAGAGAAGACGAAGGTCCTTCGGGACATTATCCAGGAGTTTCTGCCGACGAGAACACTCAGACCACCAGTGAGTCGCGAGATCATTGAACCAATGGAAAGTGCTCACAGAGTGTTTGGCATGACTGAGGCAGAATTGGAGGCCTTCTTGCTGCACAATAAGCAGCGCCTTCAGACGATTCGCAGACTCCAGAAGGACGCCGTTAGGCGGATTCAACGATTATACACTTTCGGCAGTGGCTTGGTCTCTGTGGTGCAGCACATCCTCGCAGAACGGGGAGGCTTGAGACGGCTAGCTGAAAACGAAGACGACGTGGAGAAGTACAAGGCACTGGTTGAACAAGTGAGCATCCTATCCACGGAAAATTCCCAACTGAAAGAAACGCTGAAGAAGGAGGAGGAGAAAAGGAAGCTGCTGTTTAATATGATGCAGGAGCACTTGGGAAATATTCGGGTTTTCTGTAGATGCCGAGCTATTCCACACACGGTAAGAGCCGTTGAAGTTACCTCACACGACACGGTCAGCCTGACTATTGGAAGTGTTGCCGAGGAATACAAGTTCGATCGTGCCTTTGGCACTAACGCTACACAGGCGGAAATCTACACCGAACTGGTACCGCTTATCTGCTCATTCATGGATGGCTTCAACGTCAGTTTCATCACCTACGGTGGAGAATCCAGCGGGAAGACATACACCCTTCTCGGTGGACGTGATGGCGTGCCAGAAACCCAGGGAGTCGTGTGGCGGGCGCTGAGGACCGTGTTGTCTGAGAAAGAGACAAGAAAAAATGACTGGGACATAAACTTGAAGGTAGGCGTGGTGGAGGTCTACAACGATACGCTAATTGATCTCCTGGGTGGCGTGAATGGCATCCACATTCGCGTGGACGCTGGAATCGACAGGATGTTGGAGGCCTTGAGGACGGCTGAAATCAGAACGGAGGACGACATCGATGAGCTGCTGCGGTTCTGCAACGCGAAGCGGAAGGTCGCCAGGACAGCCCTGAATGAGGCGTCATCGCGATCTCACTTGATAATCCTCGTTCACATGTTCGCGGTAAGCAACATCTACCAGAAGTCGGGCTCATCAGTCCTCGCCATGTGCGACCTCGCTGGATTTGAGGACATAATCAAGGCGGAGACCATGGGTGACCAGACATTGGCCAAAGAAGCTGGATTCATAAATCGGTCGCTCACTGCACTGAATCGCGTCTTCACATCGCTCAAAACACAGAATCCCGGCGCAGTGTCCTACCGTGACAGCAAACTCACCTACCTGCTCAAACCGTTCTTCATTAACTCCGGCAAATGCATTCTCATCGTGACGGTGAGGACAGACAGGGCCAACCTGCCATCAACTCAGGGCACCCTTAGATTCGGACGCGACTCAAGAGCTGTCAGTTTGGGACGAGCAAGGCGCCAGATTAGCATGGAGAAGTTGATACAGGAGGTGCGGGCGGTGTGAGAACGAGCCCGCGCGTCTACTATACCCTTTTGCACGTGAACAACAACAACAACAACCACACCAAAACATCTTTTGACAGAACGCGTATTTCGTATGTGCTTGTGATTGGCTACATTTCGCACTGGAATGGGTTTTGTTGGAGCACTCGAAATACAGCCGAATTGGCATTTTGTTAGCGTACCGAGGCGCCCACGCGGACAGCTGGGTGGACTGGCGTCTGTTTTTGACCACGCATAACCGCGAGACGGGCGAGAAGACCAGAGACGGTGAGGACACGGGTGGGAGAACTCACTCGCTAGTGGTTTTTCTGTTGTTTTGTTTTCTATGCAGAGGCTTGTGTACAAAGATGTCTTGTGTGTAACAGTTAGCCAATCAGTGTCAATGTGTGCTTGTCTGTCTGTGTTCAAGGGTGGCGCGAGTATACACCAGCCAATCAGAGTCTGTGTGCATTTGTGTAAGCGGGATGTCGAGGTGAGAGTGGCAGTTTTAAAGGTCCTTACGCCGGTCTCGACCCACACCCATTACACTACGCAAGTACATGGGTTGTTCAACTCAGTAGTGTTTTTTCGGATATGCTATGCACGCATAGAAGAGATCTGATTTGTGGGAGCTATCAGCCAATAGAAATCCAGCAATTATACGAGAAGCGTTGAGGGTGCTGGCACGGGGGTGCATAACGAGACGTCATGGGAACGCAGTGGATCCGAGCTATTGGGCCTGAATAATTACGAATCACTACGAGGTCAGGGGCTGACGAAGATGGCCAACCGAGGATGAAGACAATCAAGAGGGACTGGCAGAAGGCTAATTCGTTGATTCTGTTGTGGGCCCCAGCATGTGGTCTTGAAGCACGCTGGGGCCACGGAATTAACCCTGGCCCGATTGCGCTTCCCTGATACCCGCGTTGAAGAAAAAGACCGGAGAGGACGTGGACACAACCGTTTACTTCAGAGCTCAGCCACGTTGGTGACGTGTGTGGGGTTTGCGCGTGTGTACTTGTACCTCAGATGCGTAAGTCGTCGAGACCTAAGTGTGAGGATAATCCAAGACAAATATTCGTGCGTACGAGGGGATACGCATTGCTGGCGACATGCTGCGAAAAGGGGAACCCTGTGTCGGAGGTGGAGCGACCGGATTAAGGGGCGTGAATAAACACGATTCACAGCAATTCCATACGCGGATGAGCGTGAATAGATCTTTCCGACTTAATTGGGTTTTCTAGTAGTGGAAAACCTTCCATAGGTTCAACACCACACCCACAACTAACACCTACCTCTTCCCAAGATATTAGGTGTGTGACTTACTTTTTACAGATTGTTTTCTTCAAACCTGAAATTAGACTTAAAATGCAAATATTTTCGTGGTCTTTTGTGGTTTTGAAAGGACTAGACGCAAGGTTTCAGAACACCAAATGACACGTCTACGTGAGTTACTCGGAACGGCGGTTTACGAGAGCAAGTAATAAGCAGCACATTCGAAGGCACGACATCTTATACGAATTCCAAGACAAAAACAGTGCTTCTAAATCACAGGCGAACTAATTTGTAGTGTTCTTGGTGTCGATGTGGTGTCTTATGAAACAAACCTTTTAGAAGTGGCCTCGATTATTTGAAGATGCTCTACTGCATGACGACCTAGGCCAACACAAGAACCCATGCCCTTCACTGTTTGCCCGCCAGCAACAATCAGTGAATGGACTTCTTGTGGCAAATTGTGACGGCTGATGAAATGTACATTTCTCATACACCAACTATTTCAACAAATCCCAACGCGAATACAATTAACGAGGTTCCCTCCAAGGACGAATCGGACGCGAAACAAGAACACCCATTTCAAGGTCAACGATTACATTTCTTCGAGCATGTGGCAAGGGGCTTATTCCTGGGCGGGGGAGGGGTTGTCGTCGGGTTTTGGGGAGGCGGGTCGTCGTGTGCACTGGGGCAGGAAGTACGTGTCGAAGTGCCAGTAGCGTCTGGAGAGGTTCTCCCACAGCGCCGGGTCGGCGACCTCCTTCACGGGCATCGGCACGAAGTTGCAGGCGAAGCCAAGTCTAGGCGAAATTTGCACAAAATGACCGGTTAGTGACGGTCCCCAGAAACCGGCGAATTTGTAATTCAAATAAATGGGCTTTTAGAGCTGGCGCTATGCACAGGACTGCCTCGCCAACCACAGCAATCAGAAATACGCAAGGAGTTTTTGCTAGCTCGAAGAAGGTCACTTATTTGGCAGTTAAACGGTTACTGGCTTGTGGAAGCATGAAATTTACAGATTGATCCACCTTAGCGTTAGAGTCTCAATTTAGTCGAATTCGAGCTAGCGCTGGTTCCAAACACCGCGGAGCATCCTGTGAACGGCATCTCTGAGATGGGGTATCAGTTGTAGAAACGAGAGTCGAAGATGTGACAACAAAGCCAACTTAGGACACACGATAAAGTGTGCGAATTTATGTGGTGATGGAGGTGGTAGTGGTGATAGTAGTTGTGTTGGCAGTAATAGTAGTAGTGGTGGTAGTAGTAGTAGTGGCAGTAATAGTAGTGGTGGTTGCAGTAGTGGTAGTGGTGGTAGTAGTAGTAGTGGCAGTTGTAGTAGTGGTGAAAGCAGTATTTGTGGTGGTGGTGGTAGTAGTAGTGGTTGTAGTAGTAGTAGTAGTGGTAGCAGTAGTGGTGATGGTAGTAGTAATACTGACAGTAACAGTTGTTTCTATTATTGTGGCATCGGTAGTGGCTTTAATAGTAACAGTTATTACCAATACCATAAACAAAAAAATCATCGAAAACCCGAATCCGATAGCCAATAAAATGTGATCCTTCCCCGCAACCCCTATCTTTGCCCTTCTGGGCTGGGCAATTATCGCGTTCTATGTCCCAAGAAATGTTAAATTAGAAGCGTCGAACGTTAGAATAAAATAACCACTAGATTGGCGAATATGTCTGCTACTACCACTACCTACTAATGAATCTAGAAACTGCCATTAGATTTGTGGTAGTAGTATTGTAGTATCAGTTGCATTAGCATCGGTGGTGGTGGTAGGAACTATAACTAAGCTTGATGGGTCACCTTTATTTACCTTCAAACGATGCGTAAGTCAACTAAGAGGATGCCCTGGATCCCAGAACACTGCCACGTCTTGAAGTCAGTACTTACGAGACCGCACTCAAGACCTTTTTAAGTGTCTGCTAATTCCTACCACGCTGGGGCCTAAACAACAAACCACGATCGCACTAGTGAGTAGTAGACATTAGGTTCGTGCGAAAATGTGGGCCACCCGAGTAAAATCAGGCCCAAAATAGTGCGAGACAGCCGCTGATTCCTTGTTTTGAAAGAAAAAAACCTTGTTAAAACAAGAGGCTTCAATTCCATTTATAGATCGAAAGAATGGCAATCGGCGTGCTTACTTTAACTAGAACACAACCTTGAATGACTTGAAAAACTGACCCCAACGACGGAATCATCGTTCACCTCGAATAAGTGGCTAGTTTGAAACGCTAGATTTGGTAAAAGTGGGCTGTAGTTATGGGGGTTTGATCACGACATACCCTCCTATCTTGATGATCCCGGGTTCAAATCTCGATCGATGGCTTCTACAGACACGGCCACCTTCCGAGTCGCAATTTGAAATGCAGAATGTCAGCATCCACAATCCCAGATACCGCGGAAAATTCAATTTAAAACAAGCAGCGTTGCAGCACACTAGAAAGGCATTTTCAGAACATGAAATCTTTTCATGTAAATTATCTACACTGTAGTTTATCCCACAACAGGCTGAGTACAGTGAAGGAACAATAACAAAAGCCGCAATCCAAACTCGCAATGTCACATGGGATTCTCATCTTTTCCGACCACTGTCCAGCACGTTTCGGTCAAAACTGACTTGGAATGAGGACATGCATTCGGTTGCAACACCTCCACGTTGTGACTGGTTAATTTAACAAAACCGCAAAATCACGCGTGAGAATTGTGCAGAACGCTTCCCATTGGCAGAGGGTCAATTTCTGGTTTTGCGGTAGCCAATGAGTAGAGATTTTGATTAACCTATGCTCGAGCTAATCTGGTTGGCTACCTTTCAAGACGTAGTCGTGTGGTTTCGCAGGCGACCCCGTGGAAGAAGACGTTGTCTGGGCACATTCCATTGTAGTACGAGTAGCGCGCCCTGGGATGCTGGGACATGATGCGAGGAAGGAATCTATGGAAGTTGTTCAAATCCCGGTCATCTTCCGCGTAGGTGTCGAAGAAGACACCATCGAAGGCAGGCCTCTGACCGGACTCGATCTCCGCGGCCAACTGTGGAAGCACATCCTGCCAGCGACCTCTGCAAACCTCGACGTCCGCACGGTCCATCCAACCGTCGGCTGCCATCTTCTCCAACACCTGTGGAAATCAAAGTAGTCACATTAAGAAACCTTCAAAGAACACCTCCAAGGAATACGAGAGAACGCAACCTGTGGGTGGGCCTCGATGATGGTGTGGTGGGCGGGTTTGTGCTTCATGATCTCGGCGTCCACGATGCCCATTCCGAAGCCCACGTTGAGCGTCCGAAGCTGCTCCGGACGCGTCGTGTCGTCGGAGGGCGTCGCGAAGCAAATCCACGCGGCGTGGTGCGCCATCAGCGGCTTCTCCCAGTCCATCATGACGGCCAGTTGGGTGCTGGTGTCCACCAGGCGGTCACCCCTTGGGGTGTACTCCAGGCGACTGGCCAGGTACGCGGCGTTGAGTTTGGTCTCTGCGAGTGCGGACCCGTCGTTACCTGTTTCCGCGAAACCGGCTCTAATGGCCGCGCCCTCTTCGGCCGACTGAAAGGCAATGAGCAACAACCAATAAAACAACGTCTTCTGTCGAATGACCAATGAAAAATGACTGACTCGATGACGCGGGAAGCTCAAACAAACCTTCAAAAGACTGGTTTAATGGACACACATGCTCAGTAAGGAGCAATGTCCACGTTCAATGGCCCTCTAACTGACGTTCGATTCATGCGCATTTGGTTTTATTGTGAATCGTGTTAATTCACACCCCTTAATCCGGTCGCTCCACCTCCGACACAGGGTTCCCCTTTTCACAGCATGTCACCAGTAATGCGTACCCCCTCGTACGCACGAATATTTGTCTTGGATTATCCTCACACTTAGGTCTCGACGACTTACGCATCTGAGGCACAAGTACACACGCGCAAACCCCACACACGTCACCAACGTGGCTGAGCTCTGAAGTAAACGGTTGTGTCCACGTCCTCTCCGGTCTTTTTCTTCAACGCGGGTATCAAGGAAGCGCAATCGGGCCAGGGTTAATTCCGTGGCCCCGGCGTGGTTCAAGACCACATGCTGGGGCCCACAACATGTTTAATAATGTGTGACCTAAATATCAATAAATTCTACCCGTATGACAATAAACTTATTATTTCAAAACCTTCTCAAAAAGCACAATCACGATCATCGAGGAAAAACAAGATTGATGAAAAGGGAATGGTAGAATTTCAGGAAATTTTGTCACAGCCTACGCATTCACGGAATTGAGCGACATTTCTAAGACAAGGCGACCACAAGTTTTCAGATAAGCGCGGTTCAAATGTGTCAGACAATTGTGGGTAGTTGTTTGAGGTCAAAAAGCATTTTCAAAGGGGTGATTGATCACCTGGACAGACAGACCCACGCAACTCCTCGTGTCTGGCAGTCACCTTAGTCCAACCACACGCACTCCTGTGTACACACCCACCCATCCAACCAGACATTTCGTTCATTGGCTAGTTCATCTGATTTCGATTGGTTGATAGTCCCCATGGTGCATATCTCTAGCGGGTGTGTACAACACATCCAGCAAAACACGATTGGACGGAGCCATCCAATCAACGGTGGGGTCTCCGCCCCAGGTACCCGCTTGGCGTCTTGGTCGGTTTTAATTGGGTGGTAAAGTCAAAGTTACAGAAACTCCAAATAACCAATAAACACAAAGCCCTGGAACACGTCGATTCAGTTGCACGACTAGCAGTAGACGGTGCTCGTGCAATTTTATAGGTTAAAACAGGCCTTTAAATTTAAAGGGAGCGTTAACTGACGGCAGCAATGTCCATGAGGTGGATCGTGAAAAAGGCATGCTATCTATAGCGTTTTAGACACCCCCGCGTGATTCGCTAGAACAAAAGTGATGAGTTGCAAACCGAGAGGTCGTCACAGAGATAGGATTGCCTTAGCCGAAGACCGGTTAAGGAAAGATCGCAAACACGCGTGTTTAAACTACAAATCCGGGAGGCAACAACGTCAAGGTGAGGATATACACACAAACTTGAGTTGGCGCTCATCGGACAAACGAGAGCATTAAAACAACGGGAGCCACTAAGGAAGGTCACCGAGAACCCCGCGTATGCACGTCAATTCCAGAAGAAGAGGTGCACTATGGAGTATGGAAGGAAAAATACCTCAGTTGAGAAACTGGCCTAGCCAAGACAAATAACATGTCATGAGCCAAAGATGATAATTCATTGTGCATTCACTTCAAACAAGTAAGCATCGTTTCAACAGAAAAAAAAACAGAGAACGGAGCGAATTGGATGAGAACACAAGACGCGGTTATTGGACAACTTGTAGAGGTGACACCTCGTAAGCCCGACCCACTTCCAAATCGACAGAATGACACATTAAAAGGATTTGCTACTCACATTGACAATAAACAACACACAGGAGCAGCCAAATGTGTTGAAAAGAGGAATTTGGCGCGTATCGAGAAAATTAGTACAGTAAAACAACGGGAGGCAGACTTACAGGGAGGTTGGTGGGCGCGACCTCGTCGGCGGGGGTGGCAATCGACAAAAGCAGCTCTGAAATGACCGCGTGGTTCAAAATGATGTCGATGATGGCCTGGTGGTGGTTCATTGCGGCGTAATCGCCGGCACAACGGTACTGTCGATCGACGGCATTCCACGGAGCACCTTCCTCCAGTAAGTAGCGAACAACGTCGGCGTGGCCGGATCCAGCTGCTGCCATCAGCACACTCATGCCTGTCTTGGGGTCCTTTAAGTAAGAAAATAAGGTTAAGGACTGCTATTTTTAAATGTAAATATATGACTACTTATATATACACAGTAGTTAGTTAGTATCGCAATAGCTAACCTGAAAACAAATGTCACCTAGACACTCGTTGTTGAGGGTTTTGATTTCCTCCAAATTGCCCTCACTGGCAGCCAAAATCATACGAATGTCCTCCTGTGTAGGCTCGTAGCTCATTTCAACATCCTTTTCCTCCGGGTCGTCGTGTTTTCGTTTTCTGCTGCTCTGTCCCTCACTTTCAGCAGCCTGGTTATTACTGTCGTCTGCTTCACCTGATACATCCACGATCATTCTCTGCAGGCCAAAATCAGACGGTGTCAGTCAGCTGGAGCACATGTAGTGAGTAAGTAGTATAATGCAGCAAGCGTACTGACATACAAACGTAATATTCTTCACTAAAAATCTGGGACATGCGGAGTATTATCATGTCAAAAACTGCACAAAGCCAGAAGATGAAATGACTTTATCCAAATGGCACTTAATGACAAAACTAGGGATGGGATTGGTCAAGTAAGTTTTTTTGTATTATTTAGCCCAAGATGAATTAACTGAGAGAAGTTCGTCGGTGAAGGACTAAATAAATAACTACAAACAGAGGTATAAATTCAGTCAGTTTGGCTTGAAAGGCACTTCCATCGTATGGGAAATTAACCACAGAATGGTTCCTCTGTGGTAAGTGAAAACAATTTTTTTTCAGAAATCGAGTACTTGTTTGCACAAGGCAAAATAACTGAGCGTCGGTGAATTAAAAGTTGAATTTTCGTAAAAATGAGTCACACGGCCCTGATCAACAAAAAGCACCAGAAGGCCAACGAGCACCTATTATGCGTTTAGATTACTCAAAATTCAGATACACAAAGCCTACAAACATAAAATTAAATAGGGGGTTTTAATATCAAGAGTTTGACCGATCACCGACTCCAAACGATGATGGTAAATACACGAAAAATCACTGAATTTTGGGAGCAAATAAGGCACGATACCACACGGCTCCCTCTGGACACACATAACCACAGCAAAAAGCAAGTGCAGCACACCACATAACTAAAGCAAAGTCATGACCCTCTAATTCGGAAATACCGTTTAAACGCATTCTCACAAGTTATTCAAAAGTAAGGTTAATAGTAAGAATACTAGATGGATTTAAGAAAAAAATAAGAAAATAGCAGGCGGATAAGTGGACAATAAAGATAACTGATTTCAGACAAGTACACACATATGAAATTACCATTGGTAATTAATACACGCATGGAAAATGAAGCAGGTTTTATTCAGTTAGAGTGCAGAAATGCTAGAGGATTTAAACTTATCCCAAATACATGCCGCTCAACGCCTTCCACAAGCAGCTGTCACAAACATTTATGCAAATACGAACAGAAGACATAAAAGCAGAGGCAAGAAGCTAATGCGGTGAATTTGACAAGGAAGCATTACGGACAAAGAGAATTCAAGCATAACAATTGGCAAAAGAGTACACCATTTCAAAGATACTTAACATGCATGTCGTCGAAATAGTATAAGGTTAATTTTGGCTTTTGTGGACAAAAAACAATAACAATATTTTTTAAAAAGGCCTATATAATTTCAAGTACTGATGAGGTGTTAGACGTAGCCTCATGAGCCGATTAATCGTAAGCTAAAAAACAAGATCAACTGGGCAACACGCTCAAATAAATAAACAAAAGCAGACAGTGAACAATAATATCTTGAACGATATAAAAATGGGAAAAAATATTAAAACAGCAAATCTACATTGCAAGTAGAGGTTGCTTTTTAAGACAGCATGTTAAACGCAAAAGATCATTTTATATGAAGTAAAAATACCACAAACAAAATGACATTTGTTGCAACACGTGCGAAAACCTGCCTCCGAAAACGACCTTGAATTTTGTAATTAGGCGGCGGAGGCAAATTAACGGAAACAAAATGAGCTCAGGCGCAAATTAAACATGAAGACAATTGAAAAAAAAAAAAATTAATAGACCAAAAACCCATTATCAAAGACGAATCATTTTATTTTCCATAGCTAAGGCATAAAAATTGTGAGGAAGACTTTTATCTTGTTAACCGATTTGAAGAGAATAAATTTGCTAAAACTGGTTAAGAAGTACACGAAAACACATGCTCCAAAATTTTTTAATCAGCAAATATATACGCTAAACTTCTTAAAATGCCTAAAAAACTCAAAAAAAACCTAAAAGTAAGGGTAGACCTATTTAACCCGTCTTTGCCTAATAATATCGAAATGATTTTGAAAATCGAGAAAGTTTCGCGTCTGCCAGGTTATAAATGCACTTACGCATCATAATATGGGTTTTTTGAAACAGCCTCTATGTATAAAATTCAACATAATGCATTCGCATCGATTACATTTTCTACGCCATTTTAACTTAAATTTTCGTGGCTTTAACATGCTTTTGCAATTGGAAAACCAGAGGTTTGAATAATCAGTATTTTATTTTTGAGGTTGACACTTCTGTGAAATCTTCCAAAAGTTCTATCCTTGCTGACCAGGGATTTTTTATCTTGGTGAACAGGGCATTCCCTTTGGACTGTTTTGTGCAACAGAGAATTTTAAGATAATTCAAATATAGTTAGGTTAATCCATTGGATAGTCAGTGGTACAACTAAGGAATATTACTCGATTGAAATTTTTTTTAGATTTGTCAACATTGCATCCATTATATGCAGTAATCAAATTCTCTTTATTTTAAAATCAGAGTCTCCAAGTCGCTTGTCAAAAGGTGTTGACACAATATCTGTAGATTGGCAGCTCCTCAAAAGTTTCTTCTGACTGACTTAATGAATATATTAATCTCACACAAATGGTGGGTGAAACCAACGTGACCGCCTTCGACGAAATTTATCTGCATTGATGTAGCAAAGCGAAACAAATTTTTTCCCAATACATCTATGTGCTCCCATTTTTTGCATGATTTACCAATGCCAATTTGTTGACTAGCATATTTTGAAGAACACAGATTTAATTCAACATTGATTGAGCACTTTAAACGTGGGAAATATGTAGGCACATTTGCAAATGGTAAAGAAACCGTAGTCGATATCTCAAGGTCAAAGTTATTCTAGCAAGTTTGTACCGAAGTCGATATACTGATACCATGATATTATGACATTGAAGAAAATATGTTTTGACCGCTCATAAGGGCACGTCTGATTGGTGTTGAAAGAATTTGTGAAATAGAAAAATAATAACATATTTGGGAACGGGAGTCAAACAAAAATTGGCAGAGGAAATGGCTAAAAGTCACTGGCAATGCTTTCATGATACTGTGGTGCTTCCAACTTTAATTGAGTTGCTGTAGTCTGACTGACACCCCACCAGAGACCTTTGGTGTGGGTGGCAGAAGTGTTTAACATCGCTAAATTAAATAACTTACGCTTACCCAGTAATTGAGACCACAAGTTGGCAATCACGAAATTCGACTCTGCTGCGAATTAACCCCTGTAAATACGCTTAAATTAGGGCGCGTTGTTAAAAAATCAGTTACACTGATCCACGTACTAAGGGAATGCAGGGCAGACTTGTATGAAAAAATCAAGACCACTCAAGACACTACTCAATCTAAATGACGCCAGACGCTCAGGCTATTTCGGAACAATGCTTTAATCAACTTGAGTGCGATTATATTCACTGTACCAACTCGTGACCCCTACTGTTCTCTACGCCTGAAATCGCCTATTTTAAAGTGCTTTAACAGCGACCTTGACCGAGTCATGCAGGTCACGCGACTCTGGGTAATGTCACTCCAACATCTGCCGATAATTCTTCTTCATCCAAGCTGGCGAAAAAACGAGTGCTCCCGCACTCTGCCACAAGACCACGACAGTAACTAAGATTGCCAGTTCGTTATCAATAAGACGTTACACAAATTTGTGGAATTTGAGGTGGCAGTCATTATTAACTGCCAGCAAGTTAAGACATTTTATGGAAGGCCATGTGTCAGAACTAATTTTAAACAAAGATACCGCGAACATCAGCACAGACATGCAGCCACCCGTTTAGAATATGCATAAGTACAATGGGAAGGGTGCAAATGGGGTTAGGGCAGGCTGAGATGACTACAGATCGTCAAACTCGTCAAAAATGTTTGAAAACTCGTCATCGTCGAGGCCAGTTGCTGTGGCGGTGGTGGTGGGGATGTCGACTGCCAAGCTCTCCCCAGGGAGCTCAGGGCTGCGTGATGCGTCTCCGCTGGTCGTTGGCCGATCGGCGGCTCTGCAGTCTTTTGGGGTCGATGCCTGAAACGCACAAGTTAGTTGCTGGATTTCATCTTTATAACTACTTAAAATAACACCAATAAGTAGTATGCATCAACAATGGGTTGGCTCGAAGGTGATTTCGGACTCGCGGTGCGAAATAAAAGCAACTTTATTCGACACAAAAAAGAGAACTTGATTAACTGTTGATTGTGAACTACCGTCACATGTCTGGCGATTTTACGAGGTTCCAAGCCATTAGAATCTTTGACAATGATCACTAAATTTAGAGATTTGGAAACTTCTAAATAAATATAGATCGTATGAGGCTGTCTACACAGAAAACGGACAGCAACTGACAACAACGATTCAATTAAGTGTGAGGTCTTGCATAGTGTCGGTGGAAGTCGAATGGTCTGCAAATGGCCAATTCTCCTCTTTTTTCTTCGAATGAAATCATCTGAACTGACTGTATGGCTACGCAAGACCTTCGTAAATCCAAATTTTGAAGTGAACTCAGCTGGCTAATCGCACTCATGCCAGTTGATATAATTGGTTGATTTTACAAAAACTGATTGGCTGTATTAAGTGGAATTTCGCCCAATATTTTTTTAAAAAAAATTCAAGACAAGTAATTTTTGATTATTATGTGCACGTTTAATACATTCGACTAAAAGAACTGGTGACAAATTGAGAAAGAACGTGAACGTACAGTTGGCGTCAAGGGAGACTTCGACGAGTCTTCTTTGCGAGGCGATGAGACTATTATTGTTTCGAAAAGGGTCGTGATTGGTGTAGTTCCGGGCTTCGCCTATGCTCCAAACACAAGAATGAGAGGGCAGTTAGAAACGAATGCGCGAGAAAACAACGTAAAAACCCAGCAAACACGAGCCCGATTAGCGCTAAATCGACTTTAAGACGTAACAGGTTGAGTTTAAGTGGCCTGAGATTGGAATGTGCATCGTGATTGGTTGGGAATTGAGAGCACCAATAAGAACGACCAGGGAAGTGGTGTCGAGCAACCAACGATATTCTACTACTTCCACGTAGGTTTGAGAGTCCTAGTGCAACGGAAAACACCTGTTACGTACAGTCGACTTCCGTCTAGCTGAGGTTGAAGGGAGTCTTTGCTGTCGTTTTTTCTTTCGAGGTTCCACAACGTCTGATTCGTCGGTGATGTCTTCCCCATTCTCATCAGTGGCGTCTAGTTCCGCAGACTTTTCCTCCAGGAATTTACGCTGAGCAAAGAAAAAACTGCACTATGAATTCAAGTGATTATGGATTGCACCTGGTAAATGTGAAATTGTGGAATGTGGTGACGAGGTATACTACTGATGGCACCACAGCAGCAACAACCAATAAACGAAATCAAATTTGTTTCACATTTCATTTGTTGGCAGATGGCAGGTTCCCATGGAAGTTAATGGGATCGCAAAAAGGTGAGCTTCTCCTCAACATCAATTACTTGGCTTAGGGCCTTCAACAAGAACAATTTGCTACATTGTATGCATTTAGGAACTTCCTCTTTACTTACACGAACAAAGGGTACATTAATTTTGACGTGTAGGGGACTGAATCTAATGTGTTATTCGTCAACAAAGCGAGCCTCGATTTCGTTTCAAAAAGACTGGCACGAACTACAGTAACTTGCACTTCAGCAAGAACACTTCGGAACTGATGGTAGAACCAACGATGAGGGTATTTACAACAGCACAAATAAGGAAACCATGATTTAATGAGGGTTAAACGGACCTACCAAATGAGGATTGCGTCGGACAAAGAGACTAACATCATCAACAGTTATGGTTGATCGCTTGGCATGATGAGCAAAGGCTTCCAGATCTGAAGCGAGCATCTGCGCAAATCGAAACGCGGTTTCGGTGGCAAGAGAGGCGACTTCATCGCCAATTTTTACTCCCGTACGCTCACTTACTTCCTTTGCGGTAGAAGTACACTCATAATGCAGCACTGCCAAGTGCTCCTACTTTGAAAAGCAAACAATAATGCATAAAATTGCCATTCCTAAATTTAAAAAAATGCGAATAGCAATTAGTCTAGAGTTACCTTGGAATCCGGGAGTGATTTCCAAATGTTCATCCACAATCAGGGCTTTCTGAAACAAGGACAAATCCAATCTCTAGATTAAACATTAAAAATATACAGCCAAGACATCGATTCACAGTCAAAAATTAGCTAAGATGAGTTTCTGCAAACAGTTTAATTAGAAATGTAAAATCGATACAAGAAAGCATTTTTAATTTAAAAAGAATTAGGCATTAGAGTCCACAAGTTGTAAAGAGCCAAGTTACATCCATAAGTTCATTCTGGCAATCGAATAATACTGACGATGTGTCACGGCCTACCATATACGGAAATCAAATTTAGTCCTCGAAGAAACGCTGTCTGCCACCAAATGTACCTACCGTATTTTCCTAATATTACGCACATACCCATATAAACATAATTGATAATTAGAGAAAACAACAAAAACGTTAAGAGGTAGTAAGAAAGCTAAAGTAAAGAGTGCTTAGCGTAGAAATCTGACTCCGCGACATTGTAAGACAGCATTATCCCTTAAATTACATGAATAAAAGTAGCAGATAATAAGTTTGTACGTAGGCTACATTCCGTAGAAGCATTAACAGCACTAATAATCAGAAGAATCAGCGAATTCAAGGACATTAATAAACTAATTCCTTGTTTTTTTTCAAAATTGCAATCAGCCTTTAAATACTAACCCCAATGGGAACGAAGATGCAGGAAAGCCGATAGTGTCGACGACAAAAATGTTGTAATTCAGGTAATTTGCAAATTAGGCTAAAATGGTAACTTTTAATTGTATGCAAATTTCCGCAGCTACATTCGAAAATCTACCAAGATATTGCAAAGACTATCGTTGCATTTACCCATTGTGCAGCAGAGCCGCTGTCGAATGCGATAACAGTAGAAAAACCTGACTTCAGAATCTCAAGAAACTAATCTGACCCAACGTCTCTATCTTAAATACCCACTCAAAAAGTTATTTGCTGATAAATATTAGGGTAGTTTTGTTGTGATAAAACCATTACATGCTCTAAAAGCCAACTCCGATTTCCAAAAATCCCAGATGCTGTTGCAATTTGTGGGAAATTTAAACAGTAGTTCTTAAATTAACTTCACGGTTTGAAAATCAAGTGTCTAGATGCACAATAAATGGCAGTAAATCTGCAAAATATGATTAGTATAGTGGTTGTTGATTTTATCATAACCTGGCTTGTAAGAATTTGTCAGAAGCATAACTTTTGCATAATGCGTCAACCGCAGCATGATGAAAACTGGCACAGCAGAATAGGATTTATTGAGTAATCACAAGCCAGAAGCACACGCCAGGCGTCATCCATCCGTGTCTGCTACATCCCTTATAAACCGTTTCTCCTACATCGCTCTGGTCTACCTGCAGGTTTTCCTAGCATGGCTGCGGCCGGTGTGGTCTAATAAGTCTGTGCGTTTATACATCACTACATAACAATTTAGAATGCCCTATCCCAAGTATGCAGTAGATGGGCGAAACGGAACAGGGTTTATTGATAACTCACAATCCAGTAACACTTGTCGGTGCCGCCTATTCAATTGCACCGCTCTGGCTACGCCGCTAATTATATACTGCTCCTCATTAGTGTCTTTCTCTGGTTGGCTGCCTATCTTCCTCGCATGCCATTGGGACGCAGAGAGACAGAGGATTGGCTGAGGTCATCGGGGTGCAATATGTCTGCGCCCCTGTACGCCGCCACAGTAGAGTGCCCGAGCCCTAATAGGAAGAAGACTGGTAAAACAGAACAGGCTTTATTGACCAATCACAAGCCAGAGCCACGCGTCACGCGCCTTCCATCCGAGTCCACCACGCTGGCCACGCCGCTTATTATATACTGCATCTGATCCATGTCCTTCTCTGGTTGGCTGCCTTCCTTTCCCGCATGCTATTGGATCGCAGAGAGACACGGGATTGGCTGAGGCCAGGTGGTCCAACATGTCTGCGCCCTAATCCGACGCCGCACCACAACGCAACAATTCTAGTTACTTAGTCGTTGTAACGCTTTATTGAAGTTAGAATGCAGTGGGGTGAATTAAGACGTCAGGCGCGGACAATCGAAAGCGAATTGGACGTAAAACTAACAGCGTTGTCCAAAGTGGGCAGTTCCTTTATCGGCGGCAGCGTGAATGCACATCATTCTCAGACATCGCAATCGTCAATCAATTCAGATTATGGTGATCTTTGTAAGGATATCGAGGATCTACTCCAACAGTAAGTAACTCAGTTTTATCAATGGTAGTCATTGGTGTATATGCCAAAACGTTGGCATACAAAGATATGTGTTATTAGCAGCGTTTTCGTATAAAGTTATACGTCAATTTTTTGCAGAATCGGTAATGCACTTTTGTTTTCGCGGGCGGCATACGTAGGTGTTTAGCATTGCCTACTTTCTCCACACGTTTGCGTACGACGTTTAGGGGTCTTAACTTGTCGCTGCTATGGTAGTAGCGGTGTTACAAAACGGTTTTTTTCCGCATCACTGATTTTCCTTTACCTCCAGTTGACACTGTGACATTGAAAGGTCTCATTATTTATTATTTTGTGAATTTAGGCGTACTGAGTTGTCAGGGTGCATTTGTAGCCTTTTTGCCCGGTGATAATGGTAATACTTCTTGTCCTATTTGTACGCTAATCTAATTTCTCAGTTCCCACTACCTATGGGTTATCGAATAACGAATGGTGGCCTTGTGCTTCGTATCATTAGTCCGGCAGACTTTATTTGAATTGCACATCAAAATTCACCGTGGTTGAATGGTCTTCACAAATGTTGTCAGTTGGTTATCACGAAAATCCCTGAATCAATTGACCACAACCTCGTAGACCGTATTTTAATGCGAAATTTAAGTCTATACATCGGTAGTCACTTTTACTGCCATCGCTTGCCAGTTAACAACAAACGTTGGATTGGTGTCGTTTGGAAAGAAGGGTCTCAAGTGCTTAAGGAATGAGTTAGCACGAGCGCCTCAGCAGTTGGAAGACCCAGTCGAGCCGTTGAAGTCATTTCCAACTGCGGTTTGGGGTTCGGCTGCGAATCTTGGACTTGTGTCAAGTCAACTCGAAGAACCTACTGACCGGCGGTTGAGCGAAGATGGACAGCGTTTTGTCTTGGGTCACGACGCATTGATGAAATAGAATTATTTAGCATACCTAACTTGGTGTTGATTATTTTGTCAAAGCTACATCAATTTGCGTTTCCAGCACCGACTAATGGTTGTGTGGTGAGGTGCTGGGGTGTCAAATGCGCAATTGCCTCGAAACGGCGTCGGTGACTTGACCTTGTGGTTGCGTCGAAGACTACGAGTATCAACGCTGTGCTGTGTCCTCCGTTTTCACAGGAATGTGCACTCTTTTGCAACTTGCGTAGGGTTGCATGTCGCCTGCTTTTTCGTGTGGCTCAAGGTCACCTGTTGACGAGTACATTGTACTCGACGGAGTGATTGTGAATCAGTCAGTTAAGCCTGTCAAATAGCACATTCATCTAGTGGCATCTGTGGGTGAGCTCTTATGTTGATAATTTCCAGGGGCCGATTCAGGATTGTTTGTTAAGTTAAATCACGATTTCGCCAACTGCTTTCGATAATCGAATGATTGTTTTCTGTAAGCTAGAGATTTTGACGAGTCTTATTTACAATGCGATGAAGTTGTTATCGTTCCAACCAGGGTTGTGATTTGCCCAGCGTTAGGAGGGCAGTAAAGGAAGCAGGTGCGCGCAAGTGCGATCTTTTTGGACATCCAATCTACAGCACGTGTTGAATGATACCTAATTTGGCTTTAAGTGTTGTGGGTTCGGTAGTAGTTGCCAATGATTAGGATGTGCATCGTGATTGGACGGAAACTGATTTCATGTGTTGTCTCTTGGTTGCGCCACATTTCACTCACTTCCAACATGCTTCTGATCCCCAAATCGATTGTCTAGCTTTGCGGCGATACCCCCTTTTGCCTGATCGATTCACGTATTTGTGCGGCCCTCAGGCCGGTCCTGGTTGGTGTGCATTGACAATTAATGCTACTTCAGTCTGTAAGTTTCCGTTGATGACTGAATCCTCGTCGTCTTGGAGGCACAACGCCCACGATTATTCCTTGTGATTTTTATCATAAGCCAATGTGGTTCTTTCTTTTGCATATTTAGATTGACGCAGGTCAATGACAAAATGAGCGATGTGGTTTCCAGCATCGATCAAGGAAACATTAGCCAACAGCACACCGCAAAACGACACCGCGAAATCCTCTTCGACTACATGCAGGATTTTAGGCGCATGCGAGCGAACTACACGAGCGCGCGAAATCGTGAAGAACTGCTCACATCGGTGAGTGCTTCCCTGGGTGGTAGCGCGTCCTACTGAGTTCGTTTAAGTAACATATGTTTTAATTCCAGACGCACCGCATTCAGAACGCCGGCACGAGTGACAAACCGCCTGACGCGACACGCCTGCTGCTGGAAGAACAACAGAGCCTCTTGCACACAGACAAGATGCTCCTCGACCGCTTGGCAGCCGCCTCTGCTATTCGCTCGGCCCTGCGCTCACAGCACCACATTCTCAAGACAACCACGGGCAACCTGTTGAATCTGCGCGCGCGATTTCCCATTGTCAACAAAGTGCTTAGTCACATCTCCTGGCGAAAGAAGCGCGACACCGTTATCATCGGCTCAGTGATTGGTTGTTGTTTCTTGTTCCTCCTGATTTACCTCTTCCACTGAGACCAGGATTTCGTTGCTTCTACATTACAGTGCCATTACCCCCCTCCCCATCCCAGCCTCGAGCTCTTTCATGTGATTTTAAAATCGTTTTTTTTTTGGTACAATAATTCACTTATTGGGCATTTCTTTCTAAATTAACCGCCGCACTTGTTCAAGGTCACAGTGGTTCGTACAAACACGCGCCACTCAAGGTCAAAATTTTTACTAATGACTCATTGTATCGATTATCTGCGTTGTTGGGTGTTGAGTTGGGCAGTGTAGCGATATGGTCTTAACCGAACACCAGCAAAACACCAACTCAACGCCTCTCCAAAAGCCAGTGTTCAAATCGAGGTGAGTTAGAAGGCGCTACGCCAGCACCTATGGTTTTTAAACACGCAGTTGTACACAGAAATGAGCGCATTCGACAAATGTGCAGTTAACAACTGTTACATACAGGAAAGTTGACGCGGAGTAGGTTTACAGGGATGCGTGCGTGTGTGTCTCATTGTCAACTTGTGAGTTGGCAGTAAATGTGCGTTTTCCTTTAACAAAAACGCACACACACACACGTCTTTACTCGTCCTTCTTCGGTGTGCCATTCACCTGGGGCTCGCTGGAACCCTGCATCAGGATGCCAGCAGACTCGGCCACCCACTCGCCCAGTCCTGTCTTGTAGCCTTGGTAGACAAAAAACACATTCACCGCCAGCACGTAGAGACGGATAAGCCAGCTGTGGTAGATGATGGCGATGGAGAAGTAGAGGAAGAGGATCCAGTAGGCGAACACGACGTAGGCTTGGAGCGACCAACCCGCGTCCACGCTGCCACCGATCACGGCTCCCTCGCGATCGATTTCTGGCCCGGGGAACCTGCGCTCTTCCGGCGGCAGGGCTGCAATGCGAGGCACAAGGGATGTTGGGGCTTTGTAGGCTAAACATCACACACACACACACACACACGCAGATTTGGATTTACCTCGAGCTGATTGGCGTCTGTGACTCACCATGGTCTTTCATTGGTTCCCATTGTCCTTGGGTGACCTATGAACACGCGCACACCCACACAAGGACAAATTGTGCCAGGTGCATGAATTAACAGACGTGTCTACCTTGTAATATTGCAGTTGAACCATCTTCAACAAGGGCACGGTCTTGAAACAGCCGTTTCACAACCAACTACACGCACATTTCACAAAATCCTCTAGAAACCGCTGGTTTCTGTACAGGGAGGAGCCAAATACTCAAATATACACAATTACAGTCAGCTGACAGCGTGGACCCATTTACCACCGAACCAGGACATATTGTTGGAGCATTCGCCGAGGAAATAGAGATTGCACTGTTGATTTAAGTGTGAGTGTGTATTTAACTTCACATGATACCTTGTGTGCTTACAGTAAGCTCGCCTCATTCAAAATCAACTGCAGCCTACAATCTGAATGGATGCCGCGCCTGTGGTTAATTGGCATTCCAAGAAAGTGATTTGTAGCAGCACTGTGATGCATTCGTGAAATTTATTCACTAAATCGATTATTGTAAAGAAAATGATCAATGAGTTAACTAGGACAGGTGATTGGCTAGAAACCGTATTTTGACTTTGAGTTGACCTTCAGAGGGTGGTCCTGATTGGGCCGTTCTGGTGCGTTTACAGGAAGTGGGTGGCCATAGCTTAAAAGTGGAGCAAAACAGCTAGGCACAAATAACGACAAGTGAAAGTCCTAACCTCTAGTCATGGCGCGACTAAGCACACATCGACTGTTGACTAATTGCGGCAGCAACACAACCTGAACGCCAGCATCAGCAGTCACGCTTGTTGTCTCAACAGAGATTCCTGTTTGCCAAAAATTGAACGTGCTATCAGGTTGGACAGAGTATTCTACCTGTGGTAACCTGTGATTGATTAAATCAAGGAGTTTCGTGGACATGGCAGGGAGTACGTTGGTGCTCAGGATGCCTCGCTAACGATATTGAATTTGGCAGCAAGGTATTCCATTAAGAACTGCAATTCAACTCCACGACCCGCCATTGGAGACAGCACGTCGACGTGAAGGGTAGTTTAGAAACAATTTATGCCCCGAATTCACGATAGAATCAATTTGCATCTTGGGTCAGTTAAGTGAAGAACAAACGCATTGCGAGCAAATTACAGAAGACGTGGCAAGGCGGTTGAGGTGTGCATGGAACATTTTTCAGTGATAAGATGAACAACCCAAATGCCTAGTTACCTACACTCCTACATGCACCCCATCTCGAAATGGCATTAATTGGCAAGGGAATACGCACCATTTAAAGCAGCTGTGCTAGCAGACTTTGTTAAACTGTTTCGCGGAAATTTGTTTTAGCATTAAAAACAGCGTCCTTAGTGGTTCGTGCATGGTTTTAAATAATAATAACAAATATCATTTCAGAGACACCTTAGTTGAAAAAACAAGAGACTCATCGCTGACAGACGGTTCACGTATTTCCTACTTCCACAATTTACGTCAATTGCTAAGCTGGAGTTCTAGCCACATTTGACGGGATTTTTCGCGGCGAAACAGAGGATATTCTCCCCAATATAAAATGCAAATCGGGGAGAAAATTCACTGGAGAAGAGCGGTCCAACATCACTATCGGGTATCCACCACTCCCAATGACAGCTCATCACGAGTTGCGATTTCGTCATCGTTTACACAGTTCCCCTAGCCACGCCACTTCAGGCGGTGATTCACCAACGACAGCCTACCGACAGCTCCGCCCGTGTTAATCCGCATTGATCCATCAGGTCAAGACTCGCCTTGACTTTCACAAGTGAACCGATTCTGATAGATCACTCGGCGTTTGGCTGAGACAGTAAACGGTCTCCGCACGAGGTCCTGCTTTGTCTTGCATAAGCGTCGGAAGGTGGGGAACCGGTTACCTGAATGTGTGACCTTGGTTACGGATTAAACACAATGTGCACAATGGTTTCCGAAGAATTCGTCAAAGCGACAACACACAGGCCTCCCTTATAGGTGAGGGAAAACCAATCGACATATTGAGTGGGGGAGATGCGAAGCAAAGGTGGGAGGCGCAGATGCGGAAACGTCTGTGAGCTTTGAGTTTAACACCTTTCTGGGTGTTTTAATTGATTACCATTCTGGTACATCCGTGCACAAGAGACGTGGGGGCGTGGTATAACCGAATACGTATGTATCTGCGATTTGGGTTTGGCGTGAGGAAGTTTACAGCTCAAAACCGCTAAAAAACCCGACTTGTTTTGCCAACACTTAAACGCTAACATGGGAAGTAGTCGTCAGTTATTATTGCAGACCCCAATTAGTGCTATAGGCAGTCACTAACCGTAGTAGTTTCGAAGAAGCTCTTCCTTCTCAGTCCATCGTTGCTGAAGCCACCGACCCAAAGCCGAGATGGCGGGTGTCCCCGGGTTGGTGGGTTTCTCGTCGCTGATTGGCGGAAGCTCAGAGACAGCCCATTGGCGAACGTGGTAGTGCACCTCCTGGGGACAGTCACCGGTAGCCATTTTGAGCTCGGATTCAGTCAGGGTGTAGGGATATGCCACGGTGATGTCGTACACGTAGGCGAGGTCTGAATAGGCAGGACATGGGTTGTGGCAAATTTGACAAAATTTTGTTCATTGCATTTATAACAAATCCGATTGGTTCATTCCTCCAAGGTCACCCAAGTGACTACATTGCGGCGCGGTAATAGGGCCGTGGCTAAGGGGACAAGTATTCCCCCATATATTGCGATTTTTTTTGTTTTTCGCTCTAATCAATTCCAAAATCTGATTCACGAAACACCATCGACGAAAAGCAAATATTACCCCAGTACAAATTTAGTTTGTAATAGCCGATATAACGGCGACGACCTTTGGACTGCTCGAGACACCTGGTAAGTTGGATTTTGTAACTGCGTCATTTTTTGCGTGATTATGAAAAAAAGTCAACTGTGTCGCAGCATGAGCGCCGTTATTTGTGTAGAAGCGGTTTAACGTGGCCACAGTCGCAGAGCATCAATGTGAACTACCCTCGTGGTTACTAACACCACGACATCTGAAGAAAGCACTAAGTTAGACACCTATTCGCGATGTAAAAGGGGGGGGGGATTTGCACGAATATCGGCCCTAGTTGTGCTCATCAGATGAGATACACACATCTATTGGCTGCTTAAATCAGCAGGAATGCGGCACACCCTAGCAAACACACGTGTCTGACCAGATGTCTGCCAACTACCACCAGCACTGACGTCGATGGTGTTGGCACGCCGCCACAACGGGCTCGTGCAAACTCACAGGATACCATTGCAAATCAATCACACACCTTTGCCCATGGCCCTCACGAAGTGCTCGAATCCTGTGATGCGAGGGTGCAGGGTGTAGCGATGTTTTGGCAGGCCCATCTTCTCGGCGTATCTGTCGCTTTTCTCGATGGTGCTTGGTTCGAGGTTAGTGCCTTCTGGGAAAATGAGAACCTGCCAAAGCACACAAAAAACTACGCATGAAGCAGTCGTCGTTTTCTACACAAATAACTCTTCCAAGTGCAAACGCCGGGACGTACATGAGCCCTGCCCTCAAGACTCAGCAGGTACTCCAGTGCCTGGTCGATCCTCGCCTGATCGACGGCGATTTTTCGACGCAGAAATATGAAACTGTCCAGCTGCATGGCCCAACCCACGCCTGGAAGGCCGGCCAACTCCTGCTTGAGGACAATCTTCAAGTGCCGCGCGTACCTTCCGAAGCAGAACACAAAGAGCCAGTCCAGTCGGGTGCGGTGGTTGAGGAGGGCGATCGAACTGCTGCTGCTGCTGGTGTTGTCCGTTGCGGCGTCTGTGGATGCGTCAGCAAACTTGTCACCGAATACACGCACGCGAATCCGTAAAACGCCGTTGATGAGCACCTACAAAATGGTGGATTTTGCAAGAAGGCGAGCTGGCTGACCTCGAACAGTATAGCGAAGGAAACAGGGGGAGGGGATAATCACCTCCGCCAGCATGGACCAGAGGTGGACGCCGCAGTCCATGAAGAAGAGGAAGTACGAGGGTGCAAGAAAGGCCAGCGGCAGGAACGGCGCCATCATGAACACCGATCCAAAGTAGCCCGTGGCCACGAGGAACAGGAAGGAGGCGATGCAAAGGATGCGCTGCCGTTTGCTCACTGGGTAGACAGGCGGAGGTACCGGAGACGATGGTTCGTTGAGGGTCCCCTCGGGCGTCATGTCTGGATCGAGGTCTAATGAAAAGCTGTGGAAAAAAAACACGGGTAAATCAGGGGGTACATGTGTGCAGACAAACATCAAGCCGTCATATCTCGACATGGCACATATCACGCAAAAAGCATCGAAGCTAAAATGAAGCTGCCAGCGATGACTTCACCAACCCTTAAACCAACACTTCAACACGCGCAGCCTTCTTAAACACCGCAGTTGTCGGATGTGTTCAACATCCGAGGCAGTTTGGTCATCTAGAAGTCAATTAGATTACAACTCATTTGGGATTTGAGAAATTGGTGAAGTACTGGGGGGAGGAGCTACTACAGGCCTGCCGAAATTCGGCGGGTACTTGTGTCGCTACGTAGGGGGTTCGTCCCAATGATAATTTGGAGCGTCCTGAAGTGAGATAGAATTTGTGTAGCTGGATATGACCTAGCGACAAGAAACGCTTTTTTTGCGGGATGTACACATGATTGATCGTTTGATTGGCGAGCCATGTGACTGCGTTGTTTTTGCCAACTAGTGGTTTGGCTTAATTGCCTTATGCACTCAAATTATGCAAGGGGAAGATAAACGGCTTCTATTCGGTAGCATACAAAGGATAAACAGTGGGGCCAATCGCGCTTTATTTTTCAAACGGCATACATGCACAGTGGGAGGATTTGAGCAACATAAAAAGCTAAAGCGAGGAAAGGAGACGCGAGGAATTCGTTCATTTCACTACTTACCATTTGGAAGCAACAGAGGAGCACTAGCGTCGGATTAAGTGATGACAAAGAGAAACAAATTAAAAACAGGCAAAAAACACACAGCAAAAAGGAGAGGGCATCACAGACAGCAGCCTACAATCACGCATGAGCGATGAGGTATCGGCCAAGTACAGCCTACCAGAGAGGATAACACAGTCTAGTCACTTGTGCCATTGGCTAAAACATCAAACCATTGTCTGGGTGTTCCTAGATGGGTTCAAATAGCAGCGGATTTACAAAACTGTCTGTTCTGGGAAGCCAGCTTGTGATCTAGTCAGACACAAATATCGAAAGGCATTCATGACCATGTACTGGAGTGCACTTTGATGTGGACCATGGCGTGTAAACAAACGCTAGCGGACAAGATAACAAAGTATGAGAAAATTGAGTATGCGAAAACAGCGAAAAAGGAATAGTAAACAGGCGACGGCTTCATCACTAAACAGTAAATCATTTGAACATCACCAAGCCAACAAAAACACACAACAAGGCATGTGAAATAGTTTATTTGCACTATTGGGCAGGGGGCTAAGGAAGTAATCATTTAGAGGGCTTGTGAACGGGAGCACAGTCAAATTTGCCGCGGACAATCTTGTGTTTGACACCGATGAGATCCTGGCACCGGCCGCCACGCACAAGAACAATGTTGTGCTCCTGCAGATTGTGGCCCTCGCCCGGCACGTACGCAATCACCTCACGACCATTGCTCAGCCTAACTTTGACACACTTCCGGTTCGCACTGTTAGGCTTCTTTGGTTTCCGGATGAGCGTCTTTAGAACGATTCCCTAAGGTATATACCGGAGCAAACAGTTTTGTAGGTATTGAAAAAGTCATTATAAAGCAACCACATTTGGAGTGTGTTTCAGTTTGAAAACAATAGTTGTCCCCCGATACGCAATGCAATATCCATCCGCAGTCGCTCTTCAGATTTGGGTGCCACAAAAAACCTGGGCATATTTGCGACAATCGAGAGTGTACGCAAGAGAACATTAGAAATGCCTGTTCCCATGTTTAATAATGACAGGGGCGTTAGTCAACTTTAGATTATGAGGAAACATTAAGAGGTATCATACTTCGAAAAATTAAGCAAGTGAGGCATTTGATTCAAAAAAGATGAGATCAAAATCTAAGCAACAAAAAAGCAGCCCAGAAAGCGTTTACCTTCATGAAGGGCTTCCCGTCCATGTGCTTATTAGGAGCGCGTTTCTTGCGAAAGGGTCCGTAAAGAGCCATTTCAGCCATCGTTTTGTAGGATCGCACGAAATACATGGAGGGGGTAGATGAAAACACATTTTGGATGGATTTAAGTGAGGAAGCAGCTACGGTTGGTACAAAGGGGATCTGAGCGGCTAAAACGAGGGTTGAAGCTGTGTTTGACCGTCAGGGAAAGGGCGAGAAGCAAATATTAAAGCCAGCTTATTATTATAAGTTGTAGGTTTATAGGCATGAACACTTGGATTTTATGGCCAAGAACATAACCATCGCATCTTCGTGGGACACACAATAAGCATAACATCTATCTGGAGTTTGGTAATAAATGCATTCAATGATATATTATATAAAGTACGTAATTCGTGGGGAAAATGCGCAAATAATAAAAGTTCTAGATCCATAAAACGCGTTCATTGGCAAAAATATAGCTAACTCGATGTCGATAATCAGTGTCATCATCCCGAGTAACCAAAAGAAATAGGAAAATATTAGGTCAACAAGCCACGAGACAACGACTATCAAGAAGACAATCAACCACACAAATCAAGATATTTTATCCAAACAGTACAGTTTACGACGAATTAAGATATATTTAATAGGGACGGCAGGCGAAACTATAGTAACCGAAAAAGCTAGCTGGATATACGAACTCCATTCATGATATTACGAGAAAAACGGCAGAACGGTTAACTGTGCACGAGGCGAGCTCAGCGCGTTTCCGCTCGATTCAGATACATACCTGACGATGCAAAATTTACGCAACACGCCTGAACGCTTCGAAAAAATCGTGCGAACATGGGACAGGCCACTTTATATTCACGCGAGTTCTGATAACGATGGGGGAAATCCACCCAATGGAAATAAGACCTTGTAATTTGGTACCAATCACGGAAGAGTCGATGGCTTCGAACATGTGTATATGGTGGGCCAAAAGAAATACACTAAGACAGAACGCCAACATTTTTTGAAAGAATTGATTTGTGTGGGATTTAGGAAAACTATGGCCACAACCCAATTTAATGCACCTAACCAATATCTAAAAAAATTTTTAACACTCTAAGCATGTGATATTAACATTTACTCTTCAAGAAAAATCATTTCTACAACTCTTGTCAAAATTATAATATTATTTAGTTGTTTCTAGCATTTTGAGTGCGTATGTCATATTCAACAAATGTGCCTTTATCTTTTAAAAAGATGTTTTTGTATAAGATCAGATGAAAA